TTGCTGGATCATATGATAGTTCAATTTTTTAACTTTTTGAGGAACCTCTATACTGTTTTCCATGGTGGCTACACCAATTTACTTTTCCTCTTAGTGTATAAGGGTTCCCTTTTCTCTATATCCTTACCAACAGTTGTTCTCTCTTTTTGATAATAGTCATTCTAACAGGTGTGAGGTGCGATCTCATTGTGCGTGGTTTGTTTTTTTTCATCAATGTGGTTTTGATTTGCATTTCCCTGATTTGTGATGTTGAGCACCTTTTCATGTACCTATTGGCCATTTTTATGTCTTCTTTAGAAAAATGTCTATTCAGGTTTGTTGCCCATTTTTATTTTATTTTTTTAAAAAATATTTTTATTGATTTCAGAGAGAGGAAAGGAGAGGGAGAGACAGAAACATCAATGATGAGAGAGTCATCGATCAAGCCCACAACCGGGCATGTGCCCTGACCGGGAAGCGAACCCCGATCGCCTGGATCCCAGGTCAACGCTCAACCGCTGAGCCAAGCCCGGCCGGGCTGTTGCCCATTTTTAAATCAGACTTTTTTTGTTATTGAGTTGTATGAGTTCTTTATATATTTTGGATATTAATCCCTTATCAGATATATGGTTTTCAAATAATATGGTATTGCATACTTGAAAGTTGCTGGGGGTAGATCTTAAGCATTCTCATTACCCACACAAAAAAAGAGTTAACGGTTAACTATGAGAGGTGATGGATGTATTAATTATTTTGATCTTGGTAACCATTCTACAATGTATGTATATGTATATCAAATCATCCTGTTGTACACTTTAAGTATATATGGTTATATTTGTCAATTATTTCTCAGTAAAAGTTTTAGGAAGGTCATTATCTGAGACCTATGGAGGGAAGATAGAAGGTGATTGGAGGGCTATGTCAGAATGAAGATATGTCCTCAATAGTTGTAGTGTTATATTGGCAAGAAGCTCACCCTTTTCATAGTCCCTCACCATGCTTCTTGCCCCCTTAAATCCTGCCATCAGTTTTAAGACTTCTTTACTTCCTGCTGTAGGTTGTGGGGACCACCTTCAGTGACTTAGGCTGGAGGTAGTCGCTGCTTCCACTGCCTGGGAGGTAAGGGGAAGGGAGATATGATTACACAGCAAGTTAGGGAGAAGGGTGTACTACTAATAATATCCTAAGTGGGACCTGTGTGTGCACATTCCCATAGGAACACTAATGCTAGTGATGGCTAAGGTTTATAGTCTGGTTAGTATAGAAATGTCTGTACAGGATTCAGTTGTAGGAAAATATCCTTAAATTTTCCACCAACAACCTTGTCATTGAACTTTGAGTTTAAGATTCATTTAAATGGTGGGACTGCTTATAAGCTAGTTCTGTTTCTGTCACTAATACCTGATAGAGTAGTCTCACTACCATTTATTTTCATGTGGCTTTGGGGAGGAGTCTGGAAATTTGATGTCAATAGCTATAGAATAGTCTTTGCTGTGAAGTTTACAAATTATGTTTTTAAATGACTGCTTCATTGTCATTGGTAAATATTTTATGACAGCTCCTTAGAGATCCAAGTACAGAATTTTTTTCCAGAAAGGTTGGATTAGGAATATGTTAAAATGAAATGTCTGGTAATGAAAGAGATAATAACTCTGAAAACCCAATCATAGGTATAATGTATGTCTAAAAGTAGCAGATAGGACAGACTAGATTATGATGCAATACCCAACTACTGAACAATGGCTTACAACAACCTAAGTATGGCTCAGTCACACTGGATGTCATGGATGGGTCATGGTTCTGCTTCATGTCGTCTTTACCCTGGGATCTTAGAAGATGGAACAGGCCCTCTCTGGGATGTTGCTCATCTCATGAAAAGGGGGGGAAAAGAGATAGTGAATGACAAGTTGTCTCCTAAAGCTTCCACCCACATTTAACTGACCAAAGCAAGACCACCTCTGAGCTCAACAGGACAGGGATGTATAATGCTACCACAGAAAGGGGCAATGGCCATTTTGAAAAATAATAGAATCTACTACACTAATATTGTGACTTTAATCTCAGGTGCTTATGGAAACAGCAATATCCAGACCAGTTGTCTCTCCAACTCACGTCAATGCTACAGCTTCTGAAACATTCACAGTACTTAAGCAAAGGATGAGAATAGTTGAGGAACAGACCAGTTGTCTGAGGGATGACCTGATAATGTTGGACTTCGGTGAAAAAAGGTAACAAGTGAAAAATGAACTAGATCTCTGTAGGTTGAAGAACTTTGCTTCATTGGTTATAAATAAGGAGTCACAGGATGGATTGTTTGGCAGATGAAATAGATATTTACAAAAGAATGAGGATAAATTTCCATTTGAACATTAATTAGAAAATAGTTGCAAGATAGAGAGTTGCCATCCTGTGATAGAGCCACCACCACTATTCCCCTAAAGGGATGGAGAACGTCTGGCCCGAGGGTGTATATGGCCCAAGAAGTCATTTGGCCCTGCCAAGGCAACCGTAGGTGGGACTTGAAATTCAATAATTCTAGGAGCTTTTTTCATAGCTAATTTTTAAGTTGATAATTTTGTATGGCCTGAGAAGGATGTTATAAATATCCAGATGGCCCTTGGCAGAAAAAAGGTTCCCCGCCCCTGGAACTTTTTACCCAATCGTGCTCTCTATTTAAACTTGGGGGGAATGACAGTTGCTTGTTAACTAAGAAGTCTAATTTTTTTTCTCAGTAGAAATATTACATTGACTCAGTGGTTGGGATTACCATAGTACCCATTGCATTGCATAATATTGTTATATTGGGATCTTTGTCCAGAGGCCAACTTGAAATTCCAAAATGTTTAGAAGGACCTGTGAACCAGAACATCATTAGTCCTATCCAGAATGAAGTAATTTGTTTAGGAAAAACAGATATGTTATGGAAAAACTGTGAGTTTCTGGTAAATCGAATGTGCCATCTGGAAAGCCTCATCCAGTCCTTGAAGATGAACATCTTTTGTCTGCAAACTGAAAAGGATTTGAATCCACAGAAAACAGGTAGAGAGAAGACAGTCATCAGAAATTTGGTCCTGTATGGGTGCTTGATGAGTTTATGATTCCTTTCTTTCCTTACCTTTTAACTGCTCTCTGACCCTCTGCTGTAGTTTTTCTGAAGGATCGACTGAATACAATACAGGAGGAACATTCCAAGGACCTAAAGCTGTTGCATCTTGAAGTGATGAATTTGCGCCAGCAACTAAGAGACGTAAAAGAGGGAGAAGACAAGGCACAAGATGAAGTGCAAAGGTTGACTGCCACTCTGGAGATCGCCACAGAGACAAAGGTTTGAGTCCAGAGTTCTGAAATACAAATGCACTGTTATGTGTTAGCCAGAGGAGGCAATAGACCCATCAAACTGACTCTAAAAAATAAGTGATGTTGATGTAAGGATTCTTGACATTTGAAATTTATCTACATTGATGACTTAAACGATGTGTGCTATCAGTAATTGAGTATTTATAGAGCCCTTACTCTGTACACATGGCTGAGGGCCCAGAGATAGGATGTAGCCTGTGCTCTTTAAGAGCTTATTTGCTACTTGGGAGAGCAAGTCATAGCATGAAAAATGAAATAGAGAAAATAAAGACATGAAAATGTTTATGGACAAGTATAGGACAGTAAGTGAATACTGAAAAGTGTTTTGTGTTTGCATGGGTTTGAGAGAGTGCTTATACCCTATCTAGAATATATTAGAGTGGGCTTCAAGAAAGATAGGAGCAGAACTTTTAGAAGACAAAGTAGTGAGGTGAGCCATTGCAACTTGCACACACAGAGGCAGCAAAGAATAAAGACTAGGAAAATAAACTAACAATTTAGTTTTCCCACCATGGGCCAGGCAGTATAATAGATGTTCAACGTATTATTTTGTTTAATCTTTGCAAAACCCCTTGATGTAGGATATTATTGTCCTCATTTTAATGATAAGAGTACTGGGGCCCAGAGAGAAAAGAAGTCACTTCCCCAAGATCACACTTCTCTGTCTTCTTCCCATAACCCAGGTTTGAATCTAGGTCTTTCCACTAGGTGCAATTAGGAGGAAATGCATAAACTAGCCTGACAGGACTGAGCATTGGTTTGTGGGAAAGAAGTTGGAAATTAGCTAAGGATCACATTATAGAGGATCTCAAAATCAAGAGTGAATAGTTGGGTTTGATTCTGTGGGGGGTAATTAACGTTTTTGATAAGGCAGTGACATAATGAAACCCAAAAACTAATCTGGCAGAAGTGTAGAGTATTGATTGTAGGGGAAGTCAATAGGAGAAGAGATTGGAGGCAGGGGAAAGAATTAGGAATCCATTGCATTATTTGAGGCATGAGCCTTATTAGTTCTGATTTAGAATTGTGACATTTAAAAAAGAAAGAGGGATGTTCTCTGAAGATAGATGTGCTAGAATATAGTACTGGGTGGGGGCTGAAGGTAGGGAAGAAGACAAGGACAACTTCTGAGGTTTTGCATATGTGGTACCATTAATAATAATATAAAAGAGAATAAATAGTGAAAGCTGTATTTTTCATCCTTAACTCCTAAGCATGGATTACCTTTGAGCCTAGAAGTACAGTACTTTAAAAAAGTAGGAATATACCCTGTAAGGAAAATTTCTGTCAACTACCAGTTTCTCCTCTGATTTTGAATTTTACATAGGAAGTGATGTTACTAATCCCTTTTTATGATCTAAAAGGAAAAATGATAGAAGTCATGAATCAAAGTAATAAAATAGTTTAAAGTATCTTATTAAAATAATGGCTTCAGATTAACAATAAGAAGTATTTATAACCACATTCAGAATACCATTTATAGGTTTCCAGAAAAAAAGTCTAGATAGACAGTTGCCCCCTGTCATTTCAGATTATTTAGAACCTTTTCTCTGTCTACTTTTAGAAGAATACAGCCATTATTGAAGAGGAACTGAAAACCATAAAACGTAAAATGAACCGTAAAATTCAGGAGGTAAGATAAAAAGATGCTGGAAGGTGCAGGGGGCGTTGGAAGTACAGAAGAGAAGCCAAGAAAGTAGACAGAATGAACAGAAACTTTTAAAGAAAGAACTATGTGACTGTGTAGTAGGAAGAGTTAAAAATGTGCCATGTGAAATTTACGTGAAAGTGCCTGTCTTTATTGGCATAAGACTTCCTTTTGCCTCAGTATGGCCATAAAGCCAGAGCAGGAGGGAAATAGTTACCACAGATTCCATGCAGTTGCCCATATAGTATAGAGTAAGTGAGCATCTTCATACAAACACCTTTTAAACTAAAGTTGTGTTTAAAATAAAAAGCCTGATCATCTAATTTTACTGTGAAACCTTCATTTCAGCCTAAGTTTTAGGAGCTAGGGCCAGAAAGAAATACAGAAAAACATATACCAAGGTATGATATTAATGTTTTTCAGACCTCTCTTTGACAATACTGAACACCTGTATATATACACAAACATTTATTAAGCAGTACTTACCATTTCTTGTTAGTTGCTGTGTGCTCTGGTATTTGCTTTCTGTTCTTTGTTTTTCCTTTTCCAAGTGCTACTTGCAACTTACTAATAAGTCTTGACCTGCAATTTTTTTTTTTTTTAAATATATCTTTATTGATTTCAGAGAGAGGAAAAGAGAGGGAGAAAGAGAGATAGAAACATCAATGATGAGAGAGTCATTGATCAAGCCCACAACCGGGCATGTGCCCTGACCAGGAATCGAACCCTGATCGCGTGGATCCTAGGTCGATGCTCAACCGCTGAGCCACGCCTGGCGGGGCTTGACCCGCAATTTTGGAAACAGACTTACACTATAGGACAAGGACAACAAATTTGACTGTCTTCCTTAGGTTACCCATTAGGGAAAAACAAAAGCGTGCTTCTGAGTAGTCATAAACTAACGAAGAATGTTTGGGGGTGAGGTGGCATGTCTGGCAAACTTTCCATAGTGATTTTGATCTTTGTTAAACTGCTATGATATTCTGTTGGTCTTGCCTAACTGCAATGTTGCTCTGTAGCTAAAGAGACAGCTGTCTCAGGAAAAGTGCCTCAGGGATTCTCTTGAGAAATCTGGATCAGCCATGCTACTCAAAATACAAGAAATGGGGTCAGCAGTGGAGGTGGAACGAAAACAGGTAGAGATATTTTTATCCTTATTTATGTTAGGAAAGTGAAACCAAAGGAAAAAGCTGATAATTTTACCTATAAACCTATAGTTTTGATCATTTCCTCTAGATTTATTAAATTATTAACTTGTCTTTGTGTACTACAATTTTAAATATTTTAGTGCAAAATAAGAAAGGATCTGATGTCATTCAGTCTGACACTCAATTTATGAATGAGGGAGCTAAGGACCAGAGAAGTTAATTTGCCTTAGGCTTTGGAGAGGTGAATGCTTAGCTCCTAGGAAAGTATCCTTCCCACTGCATCATATAATCTCTATTACAGGGCCTGATCTTAGAAGGCATTACCCTGGTTTCATGTTATGTGTATGTGATTGGATAGAAAATAAAGATTAAACTGAGCTACTACTTAAAGCAAAGAATACCAATTAGTAAAATAATCAGGGATGTGTTTACATGTCTGTTTTCAATTCTCATTATTTATTTTAATATAGTGTTTTTGCCTTTATCATTGTTGTTATTTGGAGTACCTACGTGTAACTTAGAATATTTTCAGTTCTGACTACCCAAGGCAATTAGTGATTCCAAACCCTAATACCTACAATTGGAATACATAATCTTTATTTTAACCTAATTTTAACTTTAATAATTAATAACTTTATTATTAAACCTATTATTTTAATGGCTGTCCTTCACAATGGAATTATAAAAAGGATTCTTAAGAAATTTGTAAGTGATCCTTTATTGCTATAACTTGACTGCCAGTATAGCAGCCACTAGTCACATGTGGCTATTTAAATTAGTTAAAATTAAATACAGTTAAAAACTCAATTTCTCACTCACTCTGGCCACATTTCAAGAGCTCAGCAGTCACTTGGGACTGGTGACAGCTGTGCTGGGGAATGCATAGAAAGTTTTATTGGATGGCACTGCTGCTATAAGACACTGCCCTCTGTTGAGATCTTTAACTGTAAAGTATAAACTCCCCTTCTTCCTCCAGTGATGTTAAGGTTAGAAAATCTGCCTCACACATGTGCTATATGGTAGTTTATTAGAAATCTGTACCTTACAGAAAAGGAGTTTTTCTTATGCAATTTCAGGTGCAAATTTTGCAGCAAAACTGCCTATCCCTACGCAGTTCTATACAGAACACCCAAGAACTACTTGCACAGGAGCAACAAAAAAAAGGAGAGTTGGAGACTGCTATCTCACAGCTCAAGTCTAACCTAAGTATGAAAATAGATGCTAGAAATTACACTTTTGTTAGTTTTTTGAGGTTTTTGTGCAAAAACTCCTAAGAACACAAATTCTTGAAGTGGCCAGTGTTATCAGTATTTCCCATGGGCCTGAAGGTAAAAAAAAGGGTGATTTCCTTTCTGTCTGTGGCACTGAGAAAAGAGAATGCTGGTGACCTTCTTAATTGTAAACTATTCTTTATTCAGACTTTTTTTCAGGTTTATTTAAGCATTTGTGGACTTGGAAACATTTGGTTTCTAGAAATCTAGATTGAATATTAGATAATAGAATATATTAATAAGGAAATAAATCCATTAATCTTTACTGACCTATGGATTCTAACCATTTATCATGTCAGACTCATCATTCTTCAAGTTACCAATTTATTTTGGTTAACTTGTATTTATAGAAATGGATGTAAGGTACCTTAGAGATTAGATTAATCTTCTCATTTTACAGATGTGTGGAGTCCTTAGAGGTGACAGAGCTAGGAAGCGGAAGAGTCTAGACTTGATCCCAGATTGCTCAGTCATGCTTCTTTCAACCCATTACCCCTTATCATATTACTATTTTTAATGAGTTGTAAAGCAGTTTTCAAGGAGTCTCGGCTATAGAGATCACAAAGAGTTACAGTGCAGTGCCTCACCTATGAATACACTTTGTGGTTTACACAAGCTTTCACAGTAATCTTATGTAACATGCAGAATTATTTGTGCTTCCCAAAGTTACAGAAGGAATAAATGGTGAACCTGGATCTTTTAACTCCAAACCCAGTCTTGCCAGTGTGCCTTCTCTGCCCTCTGGCTGCAGCAGGGCAGGGAATACCAGAAAGGAAATGAAAATTATAAAAACAGAGCAAAGAGCAATCCATTCAGTGTTCCGACTTACAGCTTTTAGCAGAAAGTACCCTTTTTCCTTATAGTTGTTGAGTAGTGAATTACTCAGTGAAGTTCTCACTGATAATGCCCCAAGATAATTTTCTGTCTTCCTGTGGTTGCATGGCTACAAAAATATGTTACATTTTATAGTGCTACCACATTATCTCATTTGAGCTTCACAGCAGACCTTGTGAGGAAGGTAAGAAAATATAAGCCATTTTAAAGAATAAAAAGCTCTATCCGAGGACCCACAGTAAAGAGGATAGCTGTGAAAAATGAAGATTAAAACACCAGGAATTCAAACATGAGGAAAAGGAAGCCTGTCTGAATACCTACTATATGCTTCACATTGAATAACAGACTTTTTACATAATCCAATTTTATTACTTTAGGATATAAATAGTTACGCTTTAGACATTTCCTTTAATGAATTTAAAAATGTAATTGTTTATTGTTTATTAGCAATAAACATATATATCCCCCAACACACACACTAATTAAAGTGATTAAATTGTTCTCCCAAGTAAGATAAACACTTTCTTTTCATTCTTTGATTAGTGGAATTTTCAAAGTAGATCTTACAGTTTATCTTTTTGATCCTGCACAGATATATTTTTAAAAATATGTCTTTATTGATTTCAGAGAGAGGAAGGGAGAGGGAGAGAGATAAAATTTCAACAATGAGAGAGAGTCATTGATTGGCTGCCTCCTGCATGCCTCCTACTGGGGATTGAGCCCGAAACCTGAGCATGTGCCCTGACCTGGAATCGAACCTGGATCTCCTGGATCATATAGGTCGATGCTCAACCACTGAGCCACGGCAGCTGGGCCTTCACATATTTTAAATTATTCAAAATGAGTCTTGGACTCAGGTGTTCAAATAGAAGTTTTCTGTGTATATCCTACATAAAATGTGAGTTTTTATGTATTTTGTAATTTTCTGGTTTTAGAATATTTAGGTAGAACAAAATTAATAGATTGTTATGAATTTTCTATGAAGCCAAAACATTACTCAGAAGAGTTTACATCTTTTGGTTACTAATGTACAATGCCAAACTATTCCCCTATTTCTATCTTTAGTTTCAATTCTTTTTTCTCCACACAAAATCCTCCTCCCGAGCTCCAGATGGAATGTAACTGCCAACTAAACAACTATATGTGGATGCCTTGCAGATAGGCAAAACACATGAAGAAAACTTCAAGTATTACAATCCTCCTTGCTCATTCTGTCCCCCAAACCTGCCCCTTGCCCTGTGTCCCCTATTTAGTTGAAGTGTCCACCACCCAACCTGCTGCCTAAGTCTAAACAGTAGATATTTTCCTTGATTCATCTATTGCCTTTGTCCCACCAGTCATCATCCAAGTCCTGACAATTATCCCTGCTGGTTATTTCACAAGTCTGTTCTCCTTCTGCATCCCCATTGTCATTACCTTAGAGCCAGCTCTGATTGTTTTACACTTTTGTCACTGCCACAGCTACTAAACTGATCTTCCTGTCTTTATTGAGCCTCTATTAGAGTGATCTCTGTAACATAAAACTTTGGATCATGTGCCCCTCTGCCTCAAAATCTCTGAGATTCATCATCATCTACGCATGGAGTAAAATGGGACCTTGTTTACCATAGCACATGACTTTGGACTAGTTTCTTGATAATTCCCTGACTTGGTTTCTGTAAGAAATGTGATAGTAATACTTGTGTTCTCCTTATTTCCACAAAATACAGACAAAAAAACAAAACAACCAAAAACAAACAAACAAGAAAGAAAGAAAATCAAAGCTTCTAAAGAAAAACATACCATGTACTTGTACTAAGTTGTTATTACCACAGTTATGTGAACTTTTTGTTTTTAGTTTCTAGAGATGACCTCATTTCCAAGTTGGCTGAAGAAAATAAGGTAAGTTTTGAGGTTGGAGAGTGCAGAGGTGGTCTTTCCTCATTTTGGTAAGTACTATTTTCTCACTCATGCTGGTTTATAGTCCTCCTGGTTCTTCTAAAATCATTATTTAAAAAAAAGGTTGTGTGAATTGCATGTTCAGAGCTGCTGTCAACCAGATGTTAGGAAATAAATTATTTCATGCAATTATTGTTTAAAAAGGCGAACTGGCAAAAATAATGAGACTTTGCATTTTATGCCTATTGTAAACTAATTGTTATAAAGAAACTTTTTTATGAAATGTTAGAAATAGTAACTACTTTTTGGTAGCGATGATTGCACAATAATGTTGATGTACTTAATGCCACTGAATTTAACACTTAAATGTAAACAAATATTTTTAAGTGAACTGTACACTTAAACATGGTTAAAATGGTAAATTTTACGTTAGGTATAATTACTGCAACAAAAAATGGGAAAAAATGAAATATCGCTAC